TGACATCCACTTTTATTGAGGAAAAAAAAGAGACTTGCGATGCTGGAAATAACAAAAACAACCAAGTATAAAATGGTAACATAATGCAAACTTCATGGATGTCTGCCATCCAAAGTATACCCTTTACAGGCAAAATGTCTGTGTTGTATTAAAGTCTTTCCATCTGAAATCAAGTAGAATTCAGGTCTCAATCTGCCACACCATGAATGTGAGTGGCAGCAAATCCAGGTATTTCATTCAGTCCTTATAAAGTTCCAACAAGTTTTTGGTAGACAGATGTGTGCTATTATAGTAAACACAGAACCATGTAAACCATGTAAATCAGTTGTGTGTCTTTGACTTGAAATATTCTGGTCACAAGGATGAAAAGGATTTTGGAGCCTCTTAACCAGCTGCAATACTAATGTAGAAACTGAGTTTGGCTACAGTGGCAAATAGAACACCTGCTGGAGGAACAATGCCAGAAAAGTGTAACTACATCACTTTATCACTTTCCATACACATCATGTAAGCAAGGACCAGGAGGGTCAAACTCGCAGCCTACGGGCCAGATAGGTCACGTGCTAGACACCCCCACCCCTATTTTAACAAATGGGAAAAAAAGTCACGATACGTCATGTGATGATGCAAGTTTAACACCCCTGGATTAGAGCATCTGATGGGCATCCAGGAACCTTCATCACTTCTTTCATGCATCAGTTCCAAAGGTGTAGTGAAAGTAATAATTAGGGGGAGAAGTTGGTTCCTTCCTGCCCATGTAACTGTGTTGCCCAACAGGGATACTTCCAACAGTAATACTTCCAAAAATAATTAAGTCTTAAATAGCATTAGAGGTCTTCGCTTGTTGATATGAAACATCTTTCCTCTTTAACTATGACCCTTTTATTCCTAGGAATAGACAATATGTCCACCATTTTATGAAACAGAATCCAGAATCAGAGCTGGAGAGGCGGGTTTGATCAAATTGTGTGTCTTCTACCAAATTGTCCACATATTCCAGTGACGTACCTACTCTTCTAGGACGTAAAGTGCCATCTGACCGATATTTAATATCTTTGTAACCAGTAGGAGGTACCAAACACCAAAGTCACAAAAGGAGTCTTGTAATTTGCACTCTTGTGATTCAGGAGGTATAAGAACACATGAGCAAAAACTGGACTCAAGGAACGGATACATGGGACCAGTGTAGAGATTGTATCCACTTTGTCTGAAGTCAATCTCGACGATCTTAGTTACAAGGGATTCTGGAACCTGAGAGAAAGAGAAGTACGATTCCTTCTGAAGTCAACTTTCAAGCTTATGTACTCAAGCAAGAATAGGGCCATACATATGCCCTACATAATTATTTTCTGGTGGAAATTATCAACAGCCACGCTGACTGTTTGATAATCACCTTCTCATGCTTGTAGAGATGCCACTATTGCTGTTATAGATATTGAAAAACCACAAAGCCATGGTTTAGCTGAAGGCGAGTCATCAGGATTTTTGATGGCTGAAAATGGTATTGATGTGAGAATATACACCTACAATATCAAGCCAGGTTGACAGATGTAAAGCACTGCCCTTCTTGTAATGGTGGAAGGATAACATGGAATATCCTGAATGTTGATGAGAGGAAACAGTTCCTCATGTCCAGGATGAGCCCCAAGTGTCTGTTCTTTGGTCTAGCAACATAGCTAGAATAAAAATTCTGCCAGATGTCATGGGAAAGTCTCTATTGTGTCTTTGAATAATAGCGTATGTATCTTCCAGAAAAATGACTGACTGACTAGGATGGGACTACAAACTCAATGAAGGCTACCCAACTGATTATAGTTGACAATGAAGGCTACCCAAATGATTATAGTACTTGCAATTCAGGTGATCCATAAATGGGCCAAAATCATCACAGTCCTGTTGTCTACTGCAATTGCTGCTTATGAGACTGAAAGAATTTCCTTCAAGACTTTTTATCCTTGGAACCGAGGTGCAGTTTTCTTTAATACATTTAACTGTGAAGTGATTAGAGAATGCTTGAGTGAGTGTTTAATTCCATTACTGAGAACAAAAAAATTTGATTTTGCTGAAAATCCATGAAGTTTCAAGCGTATGCATCACATCCAGTACGCCCTCCATTTAGAAACTAAATAGTCCACTCTACTAAAGGAAACGCTTACAATATTTTCTTCCTTTGGTCTGTGAACATAGCTAGGAAAGATGGTAGAGGGCTAATAGGTTTAACTAAAAAGATAAATGCAGCAGATAATATATTTGGCAGTGTAATTTGTTCTGTATACCTCTAGTTCTGTACCGTAGGCTTGTGCTACACGCAATCTGCCTCTAAATATTATAGAAAAACAGTGCTGCTTTCTTTCCTTCAATAACATAGTAAAAAAAATTAAAAATACAGATTATAATCCATTAAGGGCAATCTTCCGAGTGCTTCCATGAACTCCTTTCCTTCTTAATCCACTGGAATTAATGAATTAATGAATGTTGTCTGTTCTGTGAACATGACTGTGGTGCCTCAACAATGACAGTATGTTAGAAAAAGAACTGAGAGCCATCATCCTTGACTTTTGATACGCTGCAATTTGGTTGTGTTGTCCCATACTACTTGGAAATCCAGATCCTGTAGAGACAAATCAGGTTGTTCAGGGTTTAAAATGTGAGATCCTTGAGATTCAGTAGAAACTTCAGTTCTCCGAGGGAAGGAAAAAGGACTTGTACCTCCACATTCTGCAGATCAACATCGGAGATCAGTTAAGAGGATCTGGAAGCATTTTCCAATCTTCTGACAAATTCTCCAGAAGATGTGCCATTGTGTCAGTGCATTAAAGATGGAGACTGCTTATTTGGAAAGTCTGGTGGTAGAAGAAGCTTCTGCAAGAACCATTCTCCCATCCTCCACAGGTATACTTGGTGAATAATTATTATATGCATGTATTAAATGTGTGCAGAACATCCTAAATGATGGAAGGTAAAATGAGATTACATAGCCCTGTCTCAAGAAGTGGCAAATGGTAACAATGTAATAAATGCTACCGTTTGTGGTTTTATAAAATGTGGGATCTTCAATAGGTCATCTGAGATCAAGGAAAAAGTAACACTGATAGGATCGCTGTATTCCAAAGAACAGAAGGGGCTGCTTTCAAATCACCCTTTCAAGATAGATTCTTCTCAATTGAATAGGTATGAAGAGGATCTAGTTCCAAAGGCTTGTTTATACTCAGTGTCTGATGCATCTTGTTGCAGTGTCCAACAATAGTCAGCCAGCTCTGATGGATTCCAGTTGCCCTGATACCATTTTTCTCACCGTGTTCATCACTGAATGCACTATATTTTGGAGAAAGAAGTCCAAGTGTGAATGCAGAAAATGAATCTTCAATGACATGTTGCACTTCACGATCTTGTATGCTGTAAGAAGTTTGTCAACCAGCTGAATATAGTTTGTTGCTGTATAGTTGCGAAAAACATTCTTATCAACATCCTTGAATGCTTTTCACATGATTTTCTCTGGCCCCACTAACACATCTTCAAACCATTTGTTACTGACGACATATCTGATCTGTGGACCAACAAAAATTCCTTTCTTAATCTTGGCATCAGTTATTCTTGGGAACATTTGTCTCAAATAACGAAAACCATCATCTTCCTTGTTCATCATTGTCATAGAATTTTTCATCAGTCTTGAGTTTTATGTGGAGTGGAGGAAATAATAACTGTTGGGTCAACAAGAGGTTCACCTGCCATGTTTTTCAGTCCTGGAACCAAATGTTTTTAGCATGGCCATTTCTTTTTAATGTAATACGAATCCCTTGCATGGCTGTCCCAATTGCATATGTAACAACAGTTCGTTGTTCATTGTTCAGTTCCATGAAGCCGAGCCAATGCTCTTAGATTTCTAAAGATATTCCAGAAGTATTCATGTGTTTCTTTCGTATCTGCAGCATTGTCAACAAGTGCTGAAGATTGTACATTGCCTTTGTGTAAAAACAGAAGATTATCTATAGAACTGTACATGATACGAAAACCATAGATTCTTCTCAATTTTCTTCTCAGGTTATTTTTGCAATTAGCAACCAAAAATCTATAAGATAACACCAAAAAGATTTTAGGGAGCAAAATGTTTGTTGTCTAGTGAAATCAATAAGCTACAATTTGGCAGACAAATAAGCAGCTAAAAGTATAAGACATTTGTTTTGATATATAAGCCATGCAGCAGCTGGTTTTCTGAGGAAATGTTCTTTATTTACAAAAAGTCTACACTGGGTAACATGACTAGTTCGAATTGCCTTCCAAATTTGCTACCTTCCTGATGTATTGTGATAGCAAATTCCATAATTCTCAGAAATAAATCTATAAAATAACAGATTGTAAAAGACATTAGCAATTGTTATTTCACAGCATTGTATGATAGATCATTAGAGATACTGGGAGATCCAGCTGACAAACTTTTCTGATTAATGCTTTTTGTCCCAAAGTATAACCCAAGGGATATAGCACTTCTGGATGCCACAATCTTCCTTAGAAAACGGATGGTTTTGCCTGGAAATGTGCCACATTCTCCAGAATAAACATTTGGAGCAGGAAGTGTACTCCCACAGGAGCAGCCAGAGGCATTAGCCTTCTAATAAATGGACACTGTGTAATAGTTGCAATGCCCGTGGTGATTATTTAGTGAACGGGCAAATACAGGTAGTCCTCGCTTAACAACAATTCATTCAGTGACCGTTCAAAAATTACAGACCTCCCAGGGTCTCCCCCATCCCGAGACACTCTGAATGCCATTTAATGTTCAAGCCTGGGAAAGCCAGGATGTAGCTATAAAGTCAGACCGTGTAGTGACCTGCTCAATGGCCTCGAACCTATAACCAAAATTACAGACTCAACCATGGTTGTAAGTCGAGGACTACCTGGCAGATTCCAGATCAAAAAGGCTAGTCTTTCTTCCTTAAAGCTCTTTCCGTCCACACGGGGGGGGCAGGGGTGGGGACACCGGAGGCAGAGTCGTAACTCACCTGTGAGGCTCTTAATAATTTTGCGCAGGACAAAGTACTGCCTTGGGAAACTGTAGAAATTCTTTTCCAGCTCAATGGAGACCTGACTCGACCCTTGGGCTTCCGCCTCCTCACATCTGCAAGGAAAAGGACAGAGCAACTGGGTACAATCCAGTCAGCCTCAACTCTCAGAATGCACCCCACTTTTCTCTTCTCTTTTTTTTTTAAAACACCAGCCTATCTCTGCCTAAATAAGGCTTTACCTGGCTTCCTAGCCAAAGCTGGTAAACAGGCCACACTCCCGAAACAACTTTCTCTGCTAGTTGCAGATAGTCCGTGACTTACAACGGTTCACTTAGTGACAGTTCAAAGTTACAACAGCACTGGGAAAAGAAAGTGATTTATGACCGTTTTCCCACATTTATAACCCCTGCAGCATCCTCAAAATTTGGACGATTGGCGAAGGGCACGTCTTTATGACAGTTGCCGTGTCCTAAGGTCATGTGACTCCCCTTTTGTGACTCCACAGTTCAATGGGGAAGCCAGATTCACTTAACAATTGTGTTACTATCTTAACAACTTGATGATAGTCCCAAGGAGGACAATGAGGAAAACTTACTTAACAACTGTCTTGCTTAACAACAGCAATTGTGGTCGTAAGTCAAGGACTATTTATAATCAGGTTGGATTGAGGAAGATCTGTTCAGCTACACCAGGGGGGGTCTCCAACCTTGGCAACTTTAAGACTTGTGGATTTCAACTCCCAGCAAAGCTGGCTGAGGAACTCTGGGTGTTGAAGTGTACAAGTCTTAAAGTTGCCAAGGTTGGAAGACCCCTGAGCTACACATCTTGAGCAAACCTCTGTTTCACATCTGCACCTTTATTGAATTGAATTCCAGAGTTATCCGATTGTGGCCAAAGACACAGAAACACAGAAAACTAATGGCAGAAAAAGATGGTCTAGTGCAGGGGTCGCCAACCTTTTGGACCTCAGGGACCACCAAACTCATTTTAGATCACTACTAACCGGTTCTGTGGGCATGGCCTAATTTGTGGTGTGGCTTGGTGGTCATGTGACTGGCTGGGTATGGCTTGTATATAAATATTATAAATATTTATATAAATATTAGATATAAATAATTATATAAATAATAATAATATAACATAATTAAACAATATAATTATATAATATAATATAATTAAATAATATAATAAAATAATTATATAAATATTTAATATTTAAAATATTTATATAATATTTATATAAATATTATAAATATTGATATAAATATTGATATTTTTTTTGTAAAAAAAGAGCAACTTTTACCCAAAATCAGGCAAAGCAGGCAGGCAGATTGAGTTGCTCACAGAATCACAGATTCATTCAGAAATCTATCTATCTGCCATTGGCTAGCTCAGACAGTCACATAAAATTTGCTTGCAAGCAAACTCACAAAAATTAACTCACAACACACCATGTATGTAAATATTGATTTTTTTATAAAAAAGAGCAACTGTTACCCCAAATCAGGCAAAGCAGGCAGATTGAGTTGCTCACAGAATCATTGAGTGATCTATCTATCTGCCATCAGCTAGCTCAGTCTCTCAAATTTGCTTGCCGTGAGTCTGCACTGAATTTGCTTGCAAGCAAACCTTCAGTCCTAAGGGAGGTTCAGCTGTGCTTAAAAGCAGAGCTGAAGATCTAAAGAGTAGATAGAAAGCAAGAAATCCAACCATTTCCTGCTTCCTAGCTAATCTAAATCTCCCAGCAGAGCAGAACAGATGATGGCCGGAAAAAAGAAAAATAGCAATTTAGCAGGCAAGTTTGTCGGGTAAGGAGTGGACGGGGAGGGTTTCCGCAGGCCATGTGGGCGGTGCAGCCTTGTGTTTCTGCGCAGCCTGGATTAATTGCTTTGGGGGGATGCTCTGGGAGTGAGATTTCTCTGCGGCCCACCAAAATTTTCTCAATTTTCTCAAGCAACCGCTGGTCTAGTGGTCTATCCACAGTCTGCCATTTTGAGTTTTTTGTTTGTTTTTACTTTATTTATAATAAGAGCTCGATGTTGTATGCTTACTGATAACATCGAAACAGATGCTACAAACTACTTTTAGTAATGTATTGCAAATAAAATTCACATTAAGCTAAATGGACATTTTTCTTGGTATTATTTTTTTTATTAGTCCCAAAATGCAATTCAAAGCCCAAGTATCATAGTAAATGTCACTAAAGATGGTGAATCCTGGTGTAAAGTATCCCACCTTAATTTCACTTTAAAAAATTAAATGAATTTTAAAAATGGTGTCAATATAGGAACACATACACATTTCTCCAGATACTCAACTTTGACTTTCATTTTTAAGTTAGTTGTATTGCTTCTCTAGTGATAACAACAACAATCTTGCCAGCCTCTATAAGACGTAGTTCAACTGAATTCATTGAAAAGGAATTTGTTCCTTACCTCTCAAATATGCTCCTCGCGTCCTGTATAAAGACAGGAAATAATATTAAGATTTCATCTGATCTTATGAAAACCCACATATTAAATTTAAAAATCCCACTTGCATAGGAAGTTATTACACCAAAAGGATTGGCACATGGGATGGGGATCCCATCAACTTATTCTGTCCTCTCACAACAGGTTTGCAGAGTTAGAAACCAACACATTTAAACAGGAAGCCACAAGAACTATACAACTTACATTCACAAAGGCAGAGAAATGAGCTCTAGCCTCATCAACCATCAAATAAATATTAGTTAAAAGAGGATGTACAGAGGAAACAAGATAGGCTTACACAACCTTGACAGGTAACCTAAAGCTGGCATTTGAAATCACTTCAAATGAAAGAAAACTGCAATTGTGAAGCTGTAGCAGACACTCAAAGCTAATTAAATTTCCCTGTGTGAACACGCAGTATTGCTTCTTTTATTTCAATCATTTTTCCTAGCTATTTAGATGAGCATTTTGGCATACTGTGTAACGGTGTGGTATGCTGGATGCTCTGCAGTAGATAAGAAGATGCTCCAGAAAGTTATAAACACAGCACAAAAAATCATTGGTTGCTCTCTTTCTTCTTTGGAAGAGATTGCGAAGACCAGACTCCTCTCTAGAGCACTAAAAATCTCCACAGATTGTTCTCATCCTGGTCATTCATATTTCGAACTGTTACCATCAGGGAGACGTTATAGTTGTCTTAAAATGAGGACTAATAAATTGAGAAACAGTTTCTTTTCCAAGGCAGTAACTGTCTTGAATCAAACAGTGCATTTGTGATTTAGTCCTATCTATATAGTGGCATTTTTAAACTATTTAACTTACTAAATGTTTAGATTAGGTTTTTATTTTTGTTGTTGTTGTTGTTATTATTATTATTATTATTATTATTATTATTATTATTATTATTATT